TAACATTAAATGCTAAATATTCTAGCTATTCTAAACACCCTAGAAATATACGATTCGAAGAGATTTAACTTTGAATCTAATACGTATCATATGTATTACATTATGAATTAACTAAATCAAAATAGTCGTGTCAGGTGATGCTACGATGCCTAATAATAAAAATAAAGTAAATAGGAAAAAAAAGAAGAAAACGCAAGAACTCGAATAAATAAGAAAGTGAGAAATCGTAAGTGTACGTTTCTAATGCTACGTCCTGCTATCTGGTTTGAGCTGTTTCTCTCTCTCTCTCTCTCCCTTTTTCTCAGTATCTAGCACGGCGAGCCCGTAAGAATGAAGTGCCACTGGGTGGGACCGGAAACGAAAGCAGAATCCGCAAACTGCGCGTTGCCCTAGAATGATGAATGAAACGTAACTCCGGGCAACCGTTCGGGAGTGGTTGAAGGGTGGAGGTTGGATTGTAAGAGAGAGGAGAAGAAGCTAAAGGGTGAGAGAATACCTCTGCTATACCACTGCGAATAGTTCACCACGTCTGTCCACCATCGTGAAACGAGGTATGCAATTTTCTGTCGCTTTTCAAGCCAACATACCGGAAGGGACCGCATAAAACGCCGGAACTGTTTGCTACGTTTGCACCTATCTTTGGGCTCGTAACACATACACACACGTTAGTAACGCAAACGTGTCAAGATAATGAACGTATCTGCCATTCAAATCGTCATCGAAGTGATCTTCTTCTTTTTTCAATTTGTTTAATGAATAATAAAATTTAATCTGTTTTATAATATAACGTTATACGATTAGCACATGCAAGCGTTACAATCAATTATCTCGATATTTGATCAATAATTATAATTAAAAGCGTTACCTGCTAATAAAAGAAATTTTGTAAACTCCATATATGAGATAATACAACAAGAACTACAGTTTTAATCTGTTATTGTGAAAATTTTTCACAAAAAGTCATCATCTGTAATAAAATCTGATCATCTGACCGACATCATTTTTTACGCATAATTTTCATATATACTAATTACATTAATACCAATAAACATGAAACTCTTAACAAAAAAAAAAATCTGAATTTTTTCATCAATTTCAAATTGCAGTTCTTGTTGCACCAACTTATAATAGATAACAAATTTGTACGAGCCTGTCAGAAAAAGTTATACATAGACAGGACCTTAAAAATTGATATATTTTTTCTAATGGTAAATGATATTTACAACTTATTTGATTAATAAAAGATGAAGTGACATTTATTTTCTATAACAGGATAATCAAATAATAATAATCTCAAAACTAATAACAAACGCATTCATTTTATTTTATATATTTTTCCAATGATTGACCAACTTGATTGAGAAATTGATTTAACTTGAATAAAAGATAAGCTAAAAATACTACAATATTAATTTTTCAATTAATGTTAATTAAAAGGAATCAAAAAAGAAAAGAAAATAAAGTGAAAGATTGTACATTATATTTAACTTTAAAAGAAAAAATAGTATCTCAGGTAAATTTATAGAACTCTCCAGTAATAAGTGTATTTAAAAAGCAAAGGATATGATTCTTGCATTCTTATTTTTTTTTTTTTTAGTCTCTACGATACCTTTCAAAGGTTTCTCAAACGTAATTCTTTAAACATCCATTCGTTACCTTACGATATCGAAAACGTTACACAGCTGCCACAGTACGAATGGTGACGATAAGAAAATACATATGTGAAGAAGATAAAATCATAAATTAATATTTTAAGTTTGTCTTGTTCTCACGTTTTATTTTATGAAAGAGTTAAAATATCCCCAGGAAATATTAAAGAAAACAAGAAAGAGAAAATGAAGCAAAAAGAGAATAAAAGAGAAAGAATGAAAGAAAAAGAAAGAAAATAAAAAAAGGCACATAATTGTTCTGATAAGTTGCTGTATTTAAGAGAAAAATATTTGCTAAAAAGAAAAAAGAAAAATATGACACATGACAAATTTGTATAAAACAAAAGTTATAAATAAAAATATATAATAATAATGAAATATATATCTTTCTACCTACATATATATCTTCACAGACGAATATCAGCATTTTCATTTTCCGCGTAATTACATCTCGACCATGTCATCACACTCAGGTAGCACTGTACGACGATTTTTAGTGACACCGAAATCTAGGTCACTTGATAGACAAGAATTAGAGAAGAAAAAAAAAATGCTATCGTTCTCTTGTAAATATCTCTCCTCAACGCTTTCGTATACGTTAAGAAATATTTATCTCTGTTAATAATTTTCCAAATATTGTGTCCTACTTTTATATATGTATTTAATTTGAGAAAAATTTTTACATTTTTTCTTAAATTTGTGAATAACGAAAAACACAATAGATTTCAGAAGTTTGATATTAAAAGAATAATGTTTGATTTAATAAATCCAATTAATCGAAGCATTTTTACATGAGTGTACGAATTACCAACAGTTAAGTGTCGGTCACAACATGTATATTACCGACAGAGCAAAGAAACGTTAGATATAAGTTAAATGTTACCTTACATAAATAATTTGTAATGCCAAGATCTGCCGATAAAAATAATTACTATGATTATCAACTTACAAGATTTTTGAATTTAAAACTTTCCATACTTGGGTATATATTAGGTGTAGAAATTAATTTGATATCTTTTTTCTTAATTCAGAAATCTTATTACAAATACTAGGTGTAGGATTGTTTTAACACATTGAGGACCGGTCACGAATTAACTCCATTGCCCCGAGGCACACGCCCAACTATCCAAAACCCATATCCCGAGGCCCCCGCAACCCTAACAAAAACCGCTGCCCAGAGACACAACCAACCTGTTGTAAGAAATTCCCGTTACAACAAATGTACATTAGTTTAAACAATTACATAAAAATTGAARGAATGTTTAAATCAAAACGTTGCAATGTGATTCAGTTTTTAGTCTATATTGTCTTTATTTTACTCGTTATTTTTTAAATATTAACAAAGAACATATGCACCTAATAGAAAAATACATTGGATAATAATAATTATTAT